AAATGCGTGGCTGACGCCACGCACCTTCGTTAGAAAAATTTTTTTGTCGCGCCCCCCCCCCGAGCCGAAATCCTGGGTACGCCACTGCTATCTTGGTATGACAAGTATATAGTTAATAAAATAAATAACAATAAACAACTTTTTGCATTTCGTTATATGGATGATCTATTAATCATACACAACCGCACTGAACCTACAATTCATAATTTAATCAAAAACGTATATGATAACCAACTAAGTTTGGAAACTACTCATATAGATAATTTACATTGCAATTATTTGGACTTACATATTACAATCATCAATAACAGAATCATAACTAAAATGTATAACAAAACTGATGATTTCCCTTTTCAAGTAAAAAGATCTATACACACCACTTCTGGTGTATCCAATCACATCAAAAACGCAATTGTTTACACAGAAATTTTAAGAGTTGCCCGTACTTGCACTTATCTTGACGATTTTGTCAAAAAAATACTACAGTTACGAAACTTACTTATTTCCGATGGATACAATGAAAACATGATTTATTCAAAAGTTTTCAAATGCTTACATAAAAATAATTTTATACTATGTAAATACGAATTTTACAATTACGATAAAATTAAAAAATTTTTACACATTCTACATCAAAATTTACACAAGTTATAGTTAATTGATGTAATATATGTCTTATACCAGTCTTCAATTAAGCTATTTCATACGATCCTAATCAGTAGCACATATCATTAATCAGTATAGTTATTTCAATACACATCTACTACAAACAACCAATTTAGTTAAGTAGTCTATCAAAATGACTAATGTCATCTTATATATAAAGCTGGTCTGTCTGTCTGTATGTCTGTCTGTCTGTCTGTACGTATGTTCCGAATAGAAAATTCCATTTCTGAACCGATCCGGACCAAACTTGGCACACATACACTACGGGCCCCGGCGGGTGTCAAAGGCTACTTTTCGTCATCGATCGATATCGATTTTATCGATTTTTTGCAAAATTTGAGCTACGGGGCTGGGAGTTGGCACAGGGGGGTAAGTGAGCATGGGGATTCCGAATACAATATTAGTTTTCGGGATTATCGATTACTTTTATCGATTTTATCGATTTTTTGCAAAGTTTGAGCTAGGGGGCTGGGAGTTGGCGCAGGGGGGTAATCGAGCATGCTGATCATCCCCAAGGGGGGGTGATCAGCATGCTCGATTACCCCCTGTGCAAACTCCCAGCCCCGCAGGTCAAACTTTACAAAAAAATCGATAAAATCGATAAAAGTAATGGACGATCCTGAAAACTAATATTGTGTTCGTAATCAGCATGCTCGATTACCCCCCCCTGTGCAAAATCCCAGCCTCGCATGTCAAAATTTACAAAAAACCGATAAAATCAATAAAAGTAATCGATAATTCTGAAAACTAATATTGTATTCGGAATCCCCATGCTCACTTCCCCCCCCTGTGCCAACCTAGCCCTGTAGGTGAACTCTGCAAAAAAATCGATAAAAATCGGTAAAATCGACATCGATCGATAACGAAAAGTACTGTGACACCCGCCGGGGCCCGAAGTGTATGTGTGCCAAGTTTGGTCCGGATACGGCGGAGCCGGGTAAGCCAGCTAGTAATAAATAAAATCAACTGCAAAAAACTAACATGTTTCATTTCATCCTCTAGTCTACCAATATGGTCACTACTATAGTTTATAGTATATGATCAATAGATATAATATATCATACATTATTATTGTATATAATAAAAGACGGAGTATAAAAGCTGTAAGTTGTTAAACTTCAACTAGTTCAACAACGTATATAAATTTTATCTAAAACTATTTTGAAATATACAGGACTCATGAACTCTCCTTCCTTAATGATGAGTTCCGGGGAGAGTTCTGAGCTCCTTTACTCCGTCTAAGCACAGGAACGAAACGGAGTTAGATTAGTTCACTGCAAAATTTTTTCCCATGTTAAACAAATTATGGCACCACATTTTGTATATAATTATCTCTACTTCTACTTCTATTTCTATTACTACAGCAAGAGGCTGAGGTGAGCTCGTTACTTTTTTCAGACCAACAAACATAAGTGGGAATTGGCCTGGTACTATTCCGTTCCTTCCGCATTGTAGCCTTTTGAAGGGTTACGATAAAAATACGGCAAGGATCTAGAATACAGCATCGTTGCAACTTCGGGCTGGGTCCAGAGGTTGCCCGTGCCACCGCCGTGCCAAAATCCAGTTGGGGTACAGCAACGCACATTTAGACTGGGGTGAATCCGAGTAATGAGGAAACCAAGACTTAGTGTAATCTCAATAAAAGGCGCTAGGCGAACGTCGCATGTGTCCATCTATTTTTTTCTAGGTCGTAGCGTTGTTTTGCGAACACACATTTTGAAGGGCCGTCCACCCAGATTGAAGAGGATAAAATTTTCATGCTGTACGATAGCAAAGCCTCTAGCAAAGTAATCGCCCAAATCTCGCTGCAGAAAATTGAAGTCCAAAGCGAGAAAATCGCCCCAGAAGGTACAAGGAGCCCAGGAATCTCCGCCCATTAACGTGAGTGGCTTGAAGCAGCGAGTCCAGATGCGCTTCAGTGTATCTATATTGCCAAGAACTCCCTGTAATATATTTATTTTCAAGGTTTGTTTCTACTGAAGATCACGTTCGTACTCATTCACTTCCAGTCCACCCAGGTTGATGATTTTCAGAGCTTCAGAGATTCCTGAGCCGCTTGCATCTTCTATGGCAATTTTCTCTCTTCGAATTCATCTTTAGGGCCGCGGGTATACTTCACGCGATTTGGTAATATTCCATATCCATAACTCACTGTAAGCATATTTCAAATGCACACAAGATAGAGCATTTTATAAATCTACGTAAGTTATACACTCTATGCATGTGCAGTTTGCTAGAGTTGGATCTGAAGACTTTTGGCGAATTGCCAAGTCCTGTCGCGACTGAAATCGCTTGAGTATGTCCGGCCCTTTCTGCAGCGGTGGCTGTTTGATGTTCCGCTATTATACAGCATCAAAATCTCATCATCCTCATTTTTGTAAACGGTGCTTCTAAAAGCTGACTAAGCACACTAATTCAGTACTTTGGTCTCAATCATCTCGCTGGAAGACTTTGCAATCTTTAACCTTTCGATGTCGAACTAACTGTAGTCGCAAATAGAGAAGTCGCATCCATGCGGCATCCCTTTAACATCGACTGAAGAAGAAACTGTTGCACCATCTGGCTCCTCTGAAACCTCTGAGGAAATCTTTAAAAGACATGCTGCTTATGTTTTGGGCAAACGCTGGTGGGAGTATTTCGAGTTATTGGAATGCGAATGAATTGGATGGATTACTGATTGCCAAGAACTAATTTGATTTGTGACAATAAATTTGCTGCACGAGATTTTACCGCATGAACTCGTTATCGATACAGGGCAGTAAAGGTAGGTTGAAACTGTATAGGCGAGTCATCGCACGCAGAGATTGCACGACTGCATCTAGAAAGACAGTGCATGTTAGAGTTAGCAGACGGTGGGAGGAATGAGAGTGTGCATGATCAGAGAGACACCGCCAGCGTCCGCATTGGCGTCCCGTCTCTGCGTGTGATGATTCGACTATACCTTGCAAGCCCCACTCTTCCACCGCATGTTAAACGTGCTTTTTCCATCCATTTACGGAGTGATGTTCATTCGCTTGTAAGCAAAACAACCATCAAGAACTAACAATCATTCGCAAAAAATCATGATTGCAAATAGCTACGAGAAGATGGTCTTGCCTTGCAGAACGTGTTTCCCACTTCAAGCTCTGAAGAAGGGGGGCGGTCAGGAGGTACGGTCGGCGCGAATTTTTCGCGAAGCGACGCCGCAACGTACTTCAGCCCTTACAACACTAGCGCTCCTGGCGCAGCCCTAGTTGTAGCATTAAGTCATGTATCTGCCCCCATACTCAACCCCTATTTTTGCCGCCGGGAATCTCTATTGGAGGAGAGTTTTGGAGACCCCAAAATTTGAACGCGGCGTGTGCGGAAGAGCGGCCGCCGCGCGCGGCGTACCTCCTGACGTGCAGCCCTGAAGAAGGCAATCTGCGCTGAAGCTACTCGGACGCAGCTTGCTAAGTAACGAATTCAAATACCCATTTATCTGTTTGTCTTTTAACTGCGCATGGATGCGCATAACGAACGTGGTTATTCACAAGAAAAAAAAATTGTATGGGGATTCTTGGGGGTCTTTTCTTTCTCTCTCTCCATGTTTGTTCTGGTCTCCCTCTTCTCCATTCCATCTCCTTTCCCAGCTTTGATTTTCTGCCTTTTTCCCTTTCCTTACCTATTAATGTTCTATTTGTTTTTCTAGTCGCCCCACTGGTTTAGCTGCACACCCAACTCCTTATTTCTCTGCTCCTCTTCTATCATCCTTTCTCTAGAAAAAATCCTGGAAATTAGTATCGGCACTCTAATGTCGTGTCACTACTGGCCCCTCTGCCCTAGTAGTGGGCCACAAAATACTCAAACCTTACACGAGTTACCTAGTTGCGGCCACCAAAACGTGCAAATAACTTGTTTGTACCTAAGTGATACTAAGAATTTTTAAAAAAAAATTTTAAAAACTCAGCCTTGTAAAAAAAGTTATGCAAGAATTGGCTGCCGCACGCTCCTTCTTTTGTAATTTAGGATTATAGGCCCATAAAAACCTTGTTCCCAAACAAAAAAAAAAACTCGGAGTACGTAAAATTTCTGTTGCCCACCCCTTAACGGTCGGACCATTCGAGCGTAATAAATCTCCACGCTCGTCACATCTACTATATAAAGAATGTAAGCTACGCTCCACATCAGATAGCGGGAAAACGCGATGCGGATTTCACGGTACCACACTTTGTCAACCTTTCAAGGGTATGTAGCACGGGTTTATAAGGGTATTGAATTTTTGTAGTAAGTAAAGTCCTGGATGCAGCCTCAAGACTGAAGCAGCAATGTGAGTTTTTTTCTAGCTGAATAATTCGTGTAGTAACTCGTACCTCCATTTCCATACATCTTCATTTCAACCTCAAATTATTTTTACAATTTTTTGTTAGTACAACAATGACTAGACAGAACAATATAAAAAGACGGAATCATTAGCTTTCTATGGGTTTTGCATTTTGGGGAAGAGTGGTGGTCAACATGACAAAAACTGAGAAAGGAAATAAATCAATAGATCACTGTATACACAATAGAAAAGGGACAAAAAAAGGAGAATGGGGCAAGCTGCGAAGTGTTGTGATGTATGTGTGTGTGTAATCACGGACAACACAACAAAACAAGAATAGAAAAGCTGCAGATCTCAAAAGACGGAGAGAAACACACAAGAAAGCAATAGTGAGCTTTAGAAGTCGCTAGAAATCTATGTCAATAGATGGTTGGACAAATTCAAAACATTCAGTGAAAAAATGACAGCTACGAAAAATGATGGAAAGTCTTAAAATGTGACAAGTTTGTCAAAAATACATAGAAGAAATAATTATTTCGGCGAAATTAAGATCTATGCAAAGTTCACAAAGGAAAAACAGAACATAAGCAAAATGCCCGACGATTGGTTGATGCGTAAGAACATGCTGTTCTAACCAGGCAATCATGACAAGAGAACTATACCTATCCTATCTTTCCCGATAATATGCGCGAAAAAAGGTCCCCATAGAGATTATCATCCATGAATAAGTACGACAAACGAGTTATGAACACCAAATTAGCACGTATTGACGGCTGTGACAAATCCTTGTCGTTCGAGTATGCGAAGTCGCTTTTCTACAGCATTCTTATAACGGGCCAAAACATTTCGATCCTGGTCGCTGTGCACTTGTTCCGATAGCGTGTGGAGCATCATGTAAGCTGTTTGATATCTGAAAACATGGGTTTAGCGCAAAAGTCCAATAAATAAAACTTAACTTTCAGGTGCCATAGCTATATCACTGATTCAATTTCAAACTCCGCTCAAAGATACCAACATAAGAAAAGGACTAGTTCTCGTCTATGCTTTTTGACTGTTCACAAATGTAACGTTAGCCAAATCCAGTAACCAGTCCCTCCCCAACGCTCCCTTTCTACTTTTCTTTGTACAGTTACAGAAAATGTACAAAAGAACCCCCTTCGACTTTAACTACTAAATGATGCTCAATTTATGATTAAACGACACGTCAGCACGAGAACTGGTCTCCATAACAAAAAAAAATCATAGAGAAAAAACTCAAATTGCAACTATGGAAGAAAACCCATATTTGCAAGTAATTATAGACAAAGGCAACTGAAATACCTTTGGCTGCATAGTTGTGGATTTCCGAATAGTTCATCAAGCGCTGCCGTCTGACATAATTCAATCGCATGTTTGTACATAATCCTTTCAGCCGAAATCACTGCCATAGCTGGATCTTGTCCGGGAAGACCAAGCGATGCCAATTCCTGTGATCTCACCTGAACAGGGGACACTGCTATCAGTGACATCGAAAGATTGAAATAGATAAGCGTGTAAAGGAGCAAATTAAAGAAGCACGATTAGAAGACTCACCAAACACTGGTGATATTTATCGTTGAGAACATTTAGTACATTCTGAACTGCTGGTGACGGATGCAGTACACGGCTAGCCACATTTCTTTGCGCTAAAAGTAGTGCAGACGAAAGCATATGTAATGCTCGCACGTAGACAACCAATTGCTCAGCACGTCGGAAGGCAGAGGAAGGCTCAGCCTGAACAAAAGCAAAAATAGTTGTATAGCATAGTCCAAAATTTGTGCGCTTACTTTTCTGTTGCTCATAGCAGCCACAAGTGGATTTTCCTTCTGCTCGGCGACTTGGACTAAGGTATCGACCAACTCGACAACAAATCTCAGCTTCGCCAGGATCTAAAAAAAAATCAAAAATAATCAATTAGATGTTGACAGAGTTACTGCGATATTTATGAAATGCAAAATGACAAAAGCCTCAATCGAAAGGCAAAAAATGAAAGTCTGTGACTTTCAGAATGATTTTTACAAATTGACAAGTGGGCAGTATTGAATTTCCAGGCCGTTTACAGTAGAACACAGCATCCTTAACTCTCAGATTGGTTACCCCTAGATAATGCCGTGCTCCACCGCGAATGACCTGCTTCAATACAAATTCGAAATTGTTCAGCACCGTCTACTCAGGTGATGAACAAATTTTTAGTCACAAAGAATAATATGGAAAATCCATAAAGAAAAATAAAGAACCCTTACCTGTTTATGCTCTTCTTCCATGACGGTTTCCTGCTCCAAAGCTCTGGGTGACGATTCGTCCACGTCCTCTTCGTCCTCATCTCCTCGACGTCCAAAGAATGCGGGTGTTCGTGGCAAACTCTGCATGATCGAATGAGATCGTTTAAGACATCGATAGAGCTTTTTGTTGGACATTTCACACAAAATCAAAGAATCAAAGGATCGACACCTCCGACAATAACTCACTCCGAGTAATGCTGGAACTTTCGATGCCGACGATGCAGCTGGTGGTGTTGAGAGCGAATCGGATGGATCGGCCACGTCCATCGACAGCTCGCTGCCCTCCTCACCGGAGATGCAGCTCTCCATCGCTTCGGATTTTAAGGAATCTAGTAACGCAGACATTTAGAATAATATCCTGCTAACAAGAACATAAAAATTGAGAAGAAATTTGGAAAAAGTTTGCCGTAAGAAAAATAGAAAACAATAAAAAAGTTGCAGGTCTACGGAAAGTTTCCAAACTATAAAAAAACAGCAGTTGTTACTGTTTTTACCACACAATGATACCTCCCCCCTCTCCAATTCTTGCAAAAGGTGCAAATGCACGGCAAACAACAACTGCAAAAACGTTTTTTTCGAAACATGTATGGTGTGCATCAGCGAGCGCACCGACCATAATCTACTCAACGCCAAAATAAATTAGATTCGCCATCGATAGTTCTTCAGAAAAAACACGTTACAAACCCAATCTCGCGACGTGTGCGCTACACAATCAACAACGTTTTTTCGTCAGAAGGAAAAAAAGAATTGCAGGGAAAATCTACTCAAATATATTTCATCAAGTGAAGTGCTCGGTTCAGATTTCTAGAAATGACTTGACTACAGCATCAAACGATGACACCAAAGTATAGTGGTCGAGCTGCACATCAAGAGAAGTATCAAAAAAGCAAACATATGGTCGACCCCGTTAGCGTCAGTTGCCTTCCGGAAACACACTTTTGAGTGGCGCTTTTCAACTTGATAAAATGCAAACAGTTGTACATTCAACTGCACATCAATTCACTAGAAAAAAAAAACTTCTGTCAATACGTAAATTCACATCTGCAGATACTTTTCTCCCAAAGACAAGTGAAAGTATGCGCGCTCAGTACAACTGCTTCGATATCAAGCTAAGCCAAATGGCTTTCTCAAGGAGACAATTTCAAGGAAAGCGTTCACATGCCACGACAAAATGGTGAATGAGACAAGCTCTCAGACAGCGAGGAATCGCTATGAATTTCTGCCCTTCGCAGCAAAAATTCAAACTGATGCCAGAACTGATTCAGTGGAAGCAAAATATCCATAGAATGCATGTCTTCCAGCTATTCAGCACAGAGTGAGGCTTCATCGATCCGCTCCAAATTACCCTTTTTCCGTAAATGAACAGCAACAGCATCAAAAGAAGCTCAACCATTTTTCTGGTTGCTTAAAAGTGAACTTTTCTAAAGACTGAGCATAAAATTTAATTTCGCCCCACGGAAGTAAACTTCAAGGCTATGAGAATGAATGGAATTTCCAAATGGGTTTCGCTGGATGCCACGAACATTTTCGCGAAAAAAAAGCAATCAAGAAAGTGTAAAAGCCGTAACACATGTGGCTGCTTTCTAAGTATCGTCGTCTCCACGATTCGTGTAGAGGTGTATTGCAGACTTTGCGTGATAACACAGGTAAACTTGTTAAACCTCCACATCATAGCATTGTTTTTTGTACTCTCTCGCTATCAAAAACCGCCACGCTTTGAGTTGGCAAAACCCCGCCTCTACACGAATCGTGGAACCGATGATATGTTGCAGTTAGTGCACCGACACCCAATATTCAGTTCTTTTTTCTTTTGCGACTCGTCAGATTATTCAAATGCAGAATGACTCACAGAGATTATTTTGGGGATAAAAAAGAATGTAACGTGGAGAAATTTGAAAACAAAGCAATAAAAGGCGGTGTTTAGGTAAAATCTAGTACCTAGAGCTTCATACGGATACTGATTGGGAAGCCTGATGCAAACCACTGCGCTAGCGGCACCTCATGAAACTCACTTTTCGCCGAGATATTCAAACTTACATTCTCGCCCAAACCATATTCACTACAAGCGGAGTACGGTCTGGGCGAAAGTTTAACATTGAATTCCCGGTCGTAAGCGAATTATATGAGCTACTACTTGGCCCATATGTTGCTCAAAACTCATCCAATTTTCACTTTTTCCAGGTACTCTAAATTTCCTGGTCACTGCCTTTGAAAAAAAAACTTTTCAGGTAAACAAAAAGCAGCATACCTCCACGTACTGCTCTTCCAAAAGCTAATTTTAATGATTGTTGCATAGTTTCATCTTCGTCATCGCTAATGTCTCTAGAATTGAATGCAATTTTAGTGAAAGCCTGCGCTATAGAAAAACTGCACTCACAGCTGAGTCGACACAGGCGGGCTAACACGTGCCTCCGGCGGCGATGCCGATAGAAACTTAGCGTTGTCGAGTGAGGGGACGCTTTCTGTTTTTGTGAGAGTTTCGGGTGCCGGTGCTGCTTCAGCCGGTCGTGGTTCCGCTTTCAGCTCACGATGTGCTATAATTCACATGTAAAAAAAGGTTGTAAAAGCAAAGAAGATTGATATAGGAACGAAACATCTAGTTGTGCATTTATGACAGGGATAATAAAGCGGATGTACTCACTTTGGGGTGCCTTCTCCGACACTGGCGTGGGCGGTGATGATTCTTGTCTCAAAATGCGAGTCCTTTCTGCCAACGAGCGCCTAGCAGCGCCACCTCGCACGATGAATTGTGCTACAATGGTGAAAATGGTGAAACGGTAGAAATGAGCAAACGACAAAAGATCAGTGCTTATAAAAATTTTCCAAAACCCAGAAGAGAGAATTTATAAATGGAGAATGCAGAAAATGATAAAACCAAGACATAAAAGTTTATAATCGAAAAATTGAGCAAAAATGCGACTCACTTGCAGTTTAAAAAGTTAAAAAACCTACTTGATGGCAATGTCATATTCTCCACCGTTGGTACTGGTGTTGGTTCAGCAGCAGCACCTTTTCCTATGGTTGTTCGTTTTAGCGCCGAGATAGCTCGTACCGATGGTGAAGGTATAGCCGAGCATGTCTCTTCGGAATCCTTGTTCCCAAGACGTCGCTCCTACAGGATAAGAAAGGTAGAAGATAACCGTGTCTTCAGAGCAGAAATGAAAACTCAGAATACCACTTACCTCGATTTTCGTGAAAGCATTTCGTTGACTTGGCACGGGTACAGCTTTCACCGGTGCTGTCGACATCTGTGATGACGACGTGTGCACTTGCACCTAAAATTCTCGTTACTGGATAGGTAAGGACGTCTAGACCTTCCTCAATAATTTTGTATTTCAACAAATAAAGCATTTCCAGAATTATAATTCTAGAAAATCACTTTAATAAGAAATACATGAAAGGTTTACTTGGGCACAACATAGGGAAAACAAAGAAATCCCGAGCTGCTGCCGGATGTAAAACAGCCTTTGTTGCCAAGCGATTACTACATTAACTCACAACGCTTCGGCACTAAGCACGCGATGTTGATATGTTGCTGTAATCTTTGCAAAAAGAGAATCACGCGAAACTCGAAGGCATCTCATAGTAAGAATAAGCACAACTGGTTACATTATATCGCTGCATTCGCACTTTTACTCATCAATAGCGGCATTTGTTGTCCTTTTTCTTTATTGAAGAAGCTTCCATTGATAAAGAGAACAATGCAACACGCAAGCATCGTAAACACTGGTGAAAAAGTTTCTGACGAAAATACACTGCAGCTTGCCTGTGGACGTCCAAAAATTCGATTCTGCCAAGCTGCACCCCCAAAAAATGAATAATAAAAATGTGAGAACGATTACAGAATACACGGACTTTTTTGCAGAGAACCCGAACTTCAATCGTTTTTGTTTGCTGATTTTGTGTTATCTCACGATGGACATGATATTTGTATTGCTTGCTATGTTTACTAATTCAGTAAGGCGTGGCGCCTAGTACTTTAGTAGATATACAAATAAAAACACAACTATCTTATTTGCGTCAATTATCTCCTAAACATGAGCTAGCTGACTAAAACCAGCCAGCTGACTAAACTTATAACTGTATATACATCCTTATAACTGGCTTCCAGGTCAGGTATCAGCATCTCATGTAAATCAAACAATATATAGGGCATCCGAAAAATCGTGACGATAGCGCGACCGCGCGCGACACGCATGCATCTTCCGGCAACCGCATTTTCTTGGTTTTGATCACTCGACTGGTTTTCTGGTAAGGAATGGGAGTACTTGAACATTGGAAGTGACTGAGCTGAACGTTGAGGTGACGCCTTTTTGTATGAGAGTGTTACACTTCTGTAGGCGCAAAGACCGCAGTCGAATCCGTCGTCATGATACTTGATATAACCTTACTTGTTCCGAAAAAGCGTAAGCTGTGTTCATTGTTTGCGAACCACATGTTTCTTGAATAGAACTTTTGGTGGCAACCGTTTACAAAGACAACAACCCTTACATGCAACATCCTTTTAGGTACTGCGCTTCCTGGTGGACTTTGACAGTGATATCCCAATATCACTCCCTGCAGTTCATATAATCATTTCATGAGCGAGATTTCCAGCTCTGAACACTCGCCCAGTACTCCACTCTCCAACACCAAAGAGTCTCAAATACGGTACTGGGCGAAAGTTTAAAGCTTTCAGCCACGGGTGGATCATAATAACTTTCGCTTCAGTGATGGCTCAGTCAAAGCTTCCCAGTCAATTCCCATATAAGAATTCCTAGTACGCAGATTCACCTATAAGTCAATCGCTTAGCTCGTTTGGGTACTAATTCCTCTCATGACTCTACTCATGTAAAAAAAATCACGAAGTGTGACATAAAATCAATAAATTTGTTCAACTGCCCTCGCACTGCTTACCTGCTTAACTGGGCTATGCTCGTGTCGACCAGCTGACGATGGTTGTTGATGTCCAGATAGCGGTGGTAAAAATGTGAAATCATTGCTATCGTGCATAGCCTGTTGAGTAGCCGCACGACGGACTATCGGCGATTCCGGCACCTGTAAATAATAAATCACATCGTGAAGCAGGCAGCAGTGTTGGAAAAAATTTGGAATTACGTCTCAAATCACGTCAATGAAGTGTTACAGCTGCTGCTGTTCAGACATTTTACAACAATACCACAACTTGCATTACGTCAACAGCTAGAACAATGATAGAACTCCTGCAGCATTACTGACAAAAAATCTTACCCAAAAGTGTAGAAGCAGCGAATGCTACTCCTACTACCGTACTTTTTCCTTGAAGGCAACCTCTACCCAATTCTGAGGTTGGTGAGATTTTGATGTGATACAATAGGAAGGCCTCTGGCTTAGTAATTGCCCAAGTTCTGCTGCAAAAAATGTATTCCGAAGCAAAAAAATCGCCCCAAATAGTGGACGCTTTTGGGGTCGCCAAGCCCATCATCTTGTGTTGCCCTCACATTGAGCTCAAAACTGTATCAAAATCGTCAAAGTATGTATTTCCCAATGAAAAGCTTTGGGACCCACGTCGATGAGTGTGGCGACCCCGCAAGCATCCACTTTCTGGAGCGCTTTTCTCGCTTCGGAATACATCTTTTGCAGCGGGACTCGGGAAATTTAGCTTCTCTACTGTATCGCAACAAAAACCTCACCAGCCTCACGTCCTTTGCGAAAAGAAGAAAAGAAGAGTGAGAAGGGAAAATTTTCAAGATACCCGATCTGACAAAAACTAACATGAAGAGCTATCAAATCTAGAGCCACCCAACAATCATAAGTGAGCCATTAACAATGTCAATAAAATGCAGTCAAACCAGAAAACATTAACAATAAAAAGCAGCTTCCAGAAAAACCAACCTTGATGGTTCTCCTTGTCGGTTGCGGGCTTTCCAGACGCGATGAACCAGATCCACGACCGGGTAGTGGTGACGCAGATGATGACGGTTGCGGGATAACACGTCGCATAACCATTGGAGACGCTGCATCCAGAATTCTCTTGGATGGACTTGCGACTGGTGGTTGATGGAGGAACGGGTGGTTGAAAAACTCCTCTAGAAAAAAAAATCTATTCGAAAAAGCAAAGCCAAAAACAAGGGAAAAAACTTACCAAATGTTATGCGATCTTTCGCATTCCTTTTCAACAAACGCAAAAGCAAATCACGTAATTGAGGCGAGCAATAGTCGGGAATATTGGGTCGCAAATCCCTATTCTTCTCGTAATAGGCTTTCAGCTGTGGCGGATTTTGCGCCTGAAAGGATATGCGGGACATCCAATGATGTCACAGCAAGGACATGCATGCAATGCGTGTGAGACATGCAATCTCCTCCGGTAATTAGATGGAAACGAACCTGGAACGGGGCTTTACCCGTCAAGCACTGGAACAGAATAGTGCCGATTGACCACAAATCTGCTTTGGCATCATATTGTAAGGACATGATAACCTGCATAGACAAAAAAGTACTCAAAATGCAAAAAATTACAAGAAAATTCAAAAAAAGCAAAAAATAACTACAATCACTAACCTCAGGAGCCATATACATTGGAGATCCGCATAGTGTGGCAGCCATAACTCCTTCCGAGAGGAATCGTGCAAAGCCAAAATCGGCAAGTTTGATTATTAGCTCACTGGCGGGAGGATTTGAATGACGTGTGGGATTACAAAGTAAAATATTCTGCGGTTTGAGATCACGATGAACGATGCCTTCCTTATTTATGGCTTCCAAGGCTCGAGCTGTAACAGTATCCATGAACAGTGATGGAATATAACAATAAGCATACAAAGACAGTGTTTAGGGAACCCTTTATTTGAACTTTTTACGTAAGTGACTTCAGCAAACCATTGCGCAAGCAAGGGCACTATAGACTGTCCATCTGAGAGATTCAAACTCTCGCCCAGTACGGTACTCCTTCCAAGGACACCACCGACAAAGGTCCACGGGTACGGTACTGGGCGCGTATCTTATGGTCGTTTTTTCCGAATCAAAGATACTGTGAGCTGCCGATTCCACTACAAGTTAGTCGATGCCCGGTTTCGCAGAAGGAAATGTTACGAGATTTACGTGGGACAGCCTTCATATTAAATCGCAAACATAATGAGATGGCACGGCCTGGTATGGATAACTAATCTTTTTTTGAGCGGAGTAATGTTGATGATTACCAACAATCCTCCTCCCATAAATCTGACGACCAAAATTATACACGAATAAATTTTTAACATGCCCTGCAGTTCAGAGGAATCATAAGCAGTGCAGCTGACACTTTCGCAACCTACTGCGGCAATGCAGAGCTGCAAAATATGACTCAACTAGGCGTGCAAGAGCTTCAGCATCTCAAGCAGTTTTTTAAATTTCAAACTCAATGCAGCACAGTCAAGTGCTTTAAAATCCGCCAATCGATTCGTACTGCAAACGTATGGTCTACTTACATCATTAAATTTGTAATAAACGCAAAATCAATGATTATATTGATATGTTAGCTTCTCAAATTCCTTCCTATATCGATTTTATGCGCCCCAAGATTAACAGGGGGCTAAAGCTACACAGCAATCTCCTTCCTACTGCTGCAGGCCCGCGGAAATGTTTGAGTTTGGCTATTTTGGTGCATTGCACCAAAATAGCCAAACTCAAACATTTCCGCGTTGACTCTTTTTCTTTCCTGGTCCCACGGTCTACTGAACCCGAACGCAGACTTCATTTCGAGCGGAAATGTTGCAGGACTGGTTTTAGCGAATTACATAAAACTACTGCGGGCGACTTTTCGTTCTTGCTGGGGTCTGGTAAAGGTAAAGTGCATGGAGGAATATGGGAAATGGAATCACAATCCATTTTCTCCATAATCAGTCATGCAGTAAAGCTTAGAAACGCTAAAAGCTAATCGAGCGTTGGTAACCGGTCATAAACCCAATGCATAATAGCAAAATCCTTGAGATTTTTGCGAAAATGCCGCCGCAACGCTTCATAAACAAGGTTTTATGCAAGCAATTTTCCTAATCAAATTCTAGCAAACGACTGCACAAGCTTTTAAAGCTGAGTTGAACGCAAACAATCTCCAGAAACCGGACACCCTTCTAGCTTCTGACAAAAACAAAAGAAAGGAGCAGAAGAAGAAAGCGCTGGCGACTACATTTTTATCCAAAAAAACTAGGTAATAAATTCGTCCAAACTTGATAGTTTTAAAGCCTGCAAAATATCGACTCACCAATTTGTACAACAAAGTGATGTATAGTATCCTCCTGTAATGTCGTTTTCTGACTCAAATAATCAGCCAAATCTCCTCCATTACAGTATTCCATCACCAAATATACATGTGTTTGTGTTTCTGTGCATTTTAGCAACGCCACAAGATTCGTGTGTTGCAACCCACTTAGTGTCTAAAACGAAGCAATGACTATGTAAACATTGAGTTAGTACGTACAGTTCAGCAAATTATCCATTCTGCAAGCAAATCGTCGTCAACTGATAACGCGCTAACGCAACTGACAGCTTAGCTTATTGTAAAAAGTAAATTTACTCAGCAAACAACATGTCGATCAAATCGGACTGACATCAGCAGGGGACAAAAAAAAAGCTCGCATGCGCACAAACCGATCATTTCGAATCAGCAAACATAAAAAACTTACCTTCAGGATTTTGATCTCTTTTGTGAGCAAATTTTTCGATTTTCCTATGTTCTTCTTTGCAATGGCTTTGATTGCAACAGGAATATCAGGCCTCTGGAAGAAAACAGGATATTCAAAGCTTCAAAGTTCAATAAAATAAGGGAATTCAAATGATGGAGTAGAGTAAGGAGCTCAGCCATTCTGGGCCGCCTTCGCGGACTACTGGTCCTCAAACGACACCAGCATCGCAAAAGGACCATTTGTCTGCAGAGAAGGCCGAAAATGGCGAAATTTCCAGATAATTTGAATAGCCTAAAGAATGCATGCTTTTCATAATAAAATGCTTTCCACAAAAGCTATGGACTTCCCCTGAACAAAGAAATCCTAGGGACACCGCAATGCAAACCAAAACCTAATCATGTCCTCCCCCCTCCCCCCACCTAAAACTTTCTCATTTCCACACCTAGCTAGCGCTACTTAATCACCTCGCCATTCCCTATCAAACAGCTTCGACAACGGGCAGCACGGCTGTCGTCGGCGTTATTGCCACGAAAGCTAACCAGATACGATTACATACCCACATATATCATGTTACCCGAGTCACTGTTGAGAAAAGATGTCATGTTTATGTCACCCCTTTAGGTGGACAGCTGTTTCGGATTAAGAGAAGAGTTAACCACAACAATGCAATTTTCTAAGAATAATACCTGAGTAGATTAGTTGTGCAGATAAAAAAAGTTTCAGCTCTGATGACAGCGCCTTCTACTCAAAACCTAACTCAAACAAAAAAGAAACAGAAGCGCTGAAAAAAAAGAAGTCAGAAAGAGAAATAAAAATCTCACATCTGTATATTTTCCCTTATAGACGATTGCAAACGCTCCATGTCCAATTACATCCTTCGTGCTATACTCGAAACCGTCGAATCTTTCCATCATTTTATAACGGTGCAGTCACCGTCAAGACATGAATGAAATTCTGAAACCGAAAAACTTGTGGAAAAACATTCGAACAAGAACATCTCGCAGAAAATCGATACATGGAGAAACTTTCAGGTAGAGGAGCCTGACATGAAGGATATGAGAAACTTGCAAAGGAGAAGAGAGGTGGTGCATCGGGTGAGGGAAAACCCGATGAAAGGGCAAACAAAGGAGTTCGCACACGCGCCTTTTCAACCAATCCAATCAATGGCTACCAGGATGGCGCGTCAGCGGCCTGAGCGAAAGAGCAGAGCAGCAAAACGAAGATTCTTCAAAGAACCACGAAAGCAGATAAAAGTGCAAAGACAGATCGAGATGAAAAAAAAGTAGCAGAAAATTGACGCAAGATGGATCAGAGATGCAGAATCGAAGAAAACCTCAAAGGCGCTCAAAGACGCAAAATCAAAGGGAACCTCACGAAAAAAGGCACACAAAAAATGATCGATTTAGACTGAAAAAAAAAGAAATACTGAATCTAATCAAAACGGTAAAAAATAGAAGATTTGTGCAAAGCGTGCGAAGATACAAATTGGAAACCTCTTTGGGTTGTAAAGCACAAAAAAGGGAAAATTCACTGAGATGCAAAATGAAATACATTCGATGTAGAAAAAAACAATGGCTCATTCAAGTACAAGATTAATCGGCTTAATTTTCAAGAAATTTTTAGGGATCTATCAGCGATATACGAGTAGAAGGAAGCGTAAATAAAGAAGAATGGGTAGATTAGATAAAGGGCCATAAAATAAGATATTTTGGGCTGTAAATCAAAAAGTAAGTCAGACTGCTGAAGTACAAAACCAACTGTTGAAAACGTACAAAAACAACTCCTAATAATAAGAAAAAACAAAGAAAAAGCTTAAAATTTTGGAAATTGAGAACCTTACAGGAGTAGTTACAAGACCACTCACCAAAAACGCTACCTCACCTCTTTTCTAAAGCGATTTCGTCGCACGCAGAAAAAAAGTGGCGGGGAGACAGGGCGGCGATAACTCAGCCGGCACACAAAATGTCATGTCGTGGGGGTGAATCACAGAATCGATAGAGTCGACAGCAGAGGAGATTTTTATCGTCTACCAGTAAGGTGAGTAAAGCGAATGACTCAATAAGATTAACGGCTCTTGAAAAGAAAAGGACTGAAGGACCCACAAGAAAATTACGGGGCTTTACCGCAGAAAAAACTAGTTCATTAACAATCGGTCTTCGTAAACAACCTATAAAACGTTCCCCTGTGAACGTAATTCACCACTCGAACCGCATGCAAGATGAGAAAATTGAACCACAAAACTTGTTATAGACGTTTCGCATCAACAAGGTCATCTTCGTTGGTTTCAAATCGAAACCGGTACATCAAACATCGGCAAAACGTTCAAGCAAGGAAGTCACATGAATTTGTAATAATAAAGAAACAAAAGCACTTGAGAAAAGGCTTGTGACATGCAGATGACATCTTTTCGTCAATATTTACATGCATTTTTAATTTGGACGCATCTTCATCGGTCGAAGAAGGGACACGCTTTCGAAAGGGCAAAAAAGACAAGCGGATTGTCATGATTGAATGCAAGAGCGAAAGGAATGACAAATCCGAATATTATTTTGAAAAATACAGCATTGCAGTTTAGATACATTGACAGCCCTGAATAAATATACTCAAATGTATCATGGGGGTATATTTATTTCGACTAGACGCTGTCACCGATCAAAGCAAAAGTGAAAGAAAAAAGAAAAAAGATGCAAATCGTAGTACCAGCACGAGGAGTTGAAAAGTTTGTGATCAAGCTTTACAAAGCTGGTCGATGCAATTTTCCTCCTAAAGCTCCTTACTCCTAGCAATTTTCTCGAGATCGCAATAATAGAAGAAAATTTGAAAGGGAAAGTGACAGGTAAAGAACCCTCCTTCCAACTCTCCGCGCTATTCCACCTGGTACAATCCTTCCTCAATCCCATCAATCATCATGCTAATGGGCTATGGACTCCTAATCGTTTTATGATGCACCCAATCCTTCCCAGAGTGCTGAAGTACTATCGAATCTGCAGAAATGGAGATGAATGGGCCTAACGGGATATTGGAGTTACGCAACTAGTAGACATCCTCACCCCGATATCAGCTTACAACAAAACCTTACTCTATATACTAAGCGGTTAAAAATAATACAAAATTCATAGAGACTGAAAACAAAAACTCGCAAGAATCAAATAAGTACCAAGCAATTCACTACTGAATTACCCTGTGAATAAATACCAACAGAAAAGGCAAGAAGAAAATGAAAACTAGTCTTAAGAGAAATTTGTCGTAACTTCTCGAAGCATGTCGATTACGAAAAAGACGAATCTCTCGGGAGATTGTGCAATTCTTCGCAATCATGACTGATGAGCCCATGCCTAGATTAGCTAAAACGTAGGCCTATAAAATCTGCGAGTACAAACTACATTCCATGTTCGAAACACTAGAATCAAGAATGATGAAGATGTTCTAGAAATCCAGTAATGATTTAGCCAATTTAAAAGAGAAAAGCGAAGAACATGTGACAGCTTACGTTATACTGCGTAAAACATGAGCAAATTACAGATGTCCCATGTCGCGCTCTGCGCACCTGCCAAGGAATGTTGAAAAATTAATCAGTAACAAACCAAGAAATCAATGATAAATTAGTCAAAAAGGTGACGATTATATAGAAAATAGTAACAGATAACTCAATGTCTTTGATATAGACTGCTCAACTGTAGTGAGCGTCTAGTTGAAAAAAAAACATATAGAGCAGGTCAGACGCGTCGCAGCTATGCCGCCGCAGCTATGTGCATTACCTGCGTCAACGAACCGCATACAATTACTGTAACTCTGAACTGCCCATTTTAAAATATAACTTTTGGAAAAAATGGTGTTTTTGAGTGACTAGTTAGCAGCAGGTCCTCCGAAAAGCCCTCTAAAAAAATCTTGAACCTTCCAAAATTTTGGCGGACTAGTATCCCCAAACGTAATGGGAGCCAAAGCCACGCTCCGAAGAGTTCTTTCTTCCACAGGAATGGGTCGATAAAGTGTCGAGATTGGCTCACTTGGATCAAAGAATTGTGCGCGAATTCATTATTGAAGCAAAATTCGCTTCCACTTCTCTCGGTCTGCCACTGCCAAAAACATCAAAACATACAAAATGAAAGGCGTAATTTTACAACTAGCAGCGCTGAGCAGCATTTTTGCTCCACAATAATCGCCTATTCTGCACATTCCCCTTACACATATGCCAAAACCACCAAAAAACACACAGGAGCCCGGCAACAAAGAACGAAGTAAAAAGCAAGGCCGACCGACGAAAAAGTGCAAAATTGTGTCTGTTGCTGTTGAAGCGGCTGCCAAGGAAATGCGTACGCTAGCGAAGCTTTCGCCAGACGTACTATAATATAGTGCATGTGAGGGGGTTTGCAACACATCTCGCGGCTGCAATAAGCTTACGGATAGAATAAGATGTTTGCCCAATCTCGAGTGCATATTAGCTGTATAAAAAAGCCTGCTGCAGCATATTCTTCATAAAATAACCGCAAACAAGTCCTTGCTAATTTTATTGATTCCTAGACAGTGGTCAGCCACAGCTTTTTCAACATATATTGCGACCTCGATATGATGAGTCCTTGGGTGATACCACAGGTCGTATCAGAAAGAATATATGTTGACTGGGCGTGGCAAGAGCGGCTAAAAGAGCACTCGCCACGCCCATTTTTGATACTCAGCCAGGCAAGTGTTTTCATCCATCAAAGCGCCGCGCCCATAAAAAACAGTTCTTGGGCAAATTCGACTTCAATCACAGGTTTTTTTCAGTCATGTTGTCGAGCATTCGTGTGCTTGGCAAAATTTAGGCACCCCCAGGAATTTTGGAAAAATCTGTTTTCATCAATTTTGAATGTGAAGATGGGTGGGCGAGAGGGAGGGAGGGGGGGGGAGCATTTTGGAGAACGATTGGCTGATTCTAATCAGGACATTCTGAATGACATTAGCTATTTGGCTAATCGATCAAACGAGCCAATCGACCCAAGAGACAAATAGGGGTTTTGCCCAAAAACCTCAAGCTCGCGAATAACTGCCACAAATTATGCGCATCAACATACTAGAGCTCGTAGCACTTGTCTGTGCAAACGACCCCATCGCCAACATAATGCCCTCTACCCCCAAAAGCCGCTTCTTTCCCGTCTTCAATCCTGCGAATGCAAAAAAAAAGTAGAGCTCTTATGACGCCTCTAAAAGCTGTGCAGGATAGGCTGAGCACCGCCACCAATATGACACAAAACCTAATCGAAATGTAAGAAGGCTGAGAAGAGAAGACGAAAGAGCATAAAAAAATCACAGCAGAGCTAATTGATGATTTCTATGGCTGCCACGAGCATACATGGTTCCATACAGATTCTCTAAGAACACAGTAGTACTAACGCTATCCACATATAAGGTTTAGCAATTTCATGGAAAAAAAAACCAGCAGCATGTGGAATACGAAAATACATGATCCCCGCCGACAACACCCACTCAGAATAGCAAACATCACAACGAGGTGAATGTAGATAGTCTACGTCAACACTTTTTCGAATAATTGGAATTCTGTGTTGTATGCACAGCGTACAACTGACACAACAATTACATTAATAACAGGGAGCACCAAAACCAGCGAGTTTCATTGAAATGAACTGATGATTGATTGATTAAACTGCTTTGATGATTTCTAATTACAAATTCACAGACAAAAACAGATGTCCATATGACCTTATATGACTTTCGGTAGTTTCTGGACTGCAATAAATTCAATAAAAAGAGAAAGTTATGCATATATGTAGAGTATATAGTAGCATATAGTAAAGCTATAACATTTTGTAGCCCAGAATCCAGAATGATGTCTGCAATTGCACTACTCGTGAATGAAACTTCCGATAAACATCCAAAAAGTTAGCTGTTCTTTACTGAAGAGAAGAACTCTTCAGCGAAGAAAGAAGGCATAATTTAGAACACAACAAATAACAATAAGTGAAATTCGGGTTTGCTTT